TAGTTTTAATTAAATATTTAATTAATTAAGGGTAGTTTATATTTTGAGTCAATTAGTTTATACTTAAATTAATTACTTTATAATCAAGTTGATTATTTCATTTCGTTAACATTAAGAAGCTCATTAATTAATTTTTATTAATTCACCTTATCTAGTTTTTAGCCAAATTACCAACTAAACTCGTTCGGTTAAATTGTTAATTCAATTTGGCTATAATTGAAGTTCATTTTGTCTATTATTTAATTGCAAGTTTAGCCAATTGTTTACCCCAACTTTAATTCAATTTTCAGAATGTTTTGGGCCTCCCACTCTCTCAATTAGTGGCCCAACACCTTTAACCCATAACTTCAGTCATTTCCCAACCCAAACCAATCCCAGCAATATCCGACCCAGCCACTCAATTCCCAGTCGACCCGGCCCATTTTCGATTCTAAAAGAACCCAGATTCCAAACGGCGTCTTCATGAGTAGCGCACAAACAACGAAACAGAGGCAGCGATACACGGAGATTCCTCACGTTTTCAAATGGCGTCCTATCTCCAACGTTCAGAAAATCGAAACGGCGTCAATACTCAGCACATCGAACACGTTTCCAGTAGCTCACGATGAGACGGCGTCAACAAGATAGACGGAAAGCAACGGCGAAATACACGTCGAATTCACGCCTTGGACGCGTCCAGTACAGATTGGGTTGTCGTCTTCTTCCCGTCCCTATCCATAGTACAATCGCAGCAGCAAAACAAATGATGTTTCGTCCTCGCCAGCACGAGATGAGGCCACGTAGCATCTCAAGGACAATACACTTTCTTATTCATTGTGTGGGGTTGGAGAAAATATTGAGTCTTAGTAGGCATTTGAGAGAAAGAAATACACTTGAACCATTAAGTTCTTAAAACTACAGATAGATCGAAAGCGAGATTTCGATCTGCCTTTGTTCTCGTTCCTTTGTTTTGTTCATTCAAGGTTCTTTGAGTCGTGCTTTGTCAGTGGGAGCTCGTCGTCTTCAAGCTCGTTTTCGTTTCAGTCACTGCCCATAAGAAGGTAACACCTTTTACGTTTGCATCATTCTCCTTGTCTCTGCTTCTATGTCGATGTGATATTTTTTTATGCTGGAAAAGCTTTGTTACATGGTTGTTTGTTAATAGTTATCGTTGGTTTGTTAAATGTCTCAATGTGATATGTTCGTTCTTATGTGATTTCATGATTTGGCAAGTCAAAGTTTTTTGGTCAGTTTGCACCTAATATTAATGTTTCCAGACATATCTTTGAGTTCTATTGCTTGATGTCTTTGGGTCTGTGTTGCTTCGTTTGTGCCTTTTAAGTATTAGGTGTCTTGTGTTTAGCTTATTACTGTTTAATGTTGGTATTCATGTAAGCATGAGTTCTCAAATCAACTTATTTGGTTAACATATATGGTATAGTCGCATGTTTGCTCTAATCTTTTAGTTTTATCTATTTCTTGAATGTCTATTGTTGTCCTTAGAGTTAAAATTGCAGCCTTGGTTCGGATTATCTAAGCACCTGGTAATTTTTCGATGTTTTGAGGCTTAATAATTAATTTCCAGCATGTGTTTGTTAGTTAAAATCACAGTGGCTCTCCTATCTTTGTCTAAATTTGAAGATATCTATCCTGATTGTTAATGTGCCATCTATTTCAATTACCTATGTGGTGTTTTTGCTTAACAACATCTTTCTCTTTGTACTTTTGTATTTATCCATGTATAACATCATTAGCTTTCATTAAATAGAGTTGGTTAGACTAAACATGTGATGTTTTATTTGCTAATTATGCAGCATGTTTCCTCTTAATATTTTGAGTTTATTGTTGGTTAATGGTTATGTATTCCCTGGAATATAATATATGCATATATATGTGCTATTGTTTAGTGTCACAGTTTGTTTATTAACTTTGTCATTGTTAATTTGGTTCATTTGGTCTTCTTTAGAGTCGTATGTTTTGATCTAATTTAAATTTCTTAAGTGGCTTTCATTTTAATTGAATTCTGTCTTTTTCAAGCCATTTTATTGCATGTGAATCTGCCTTGGGTCCTCACGGACTTCTCTATTCCCCTTGCATTCTGATTTGGGACGTAAAGGCCCAAATTTGCTCTTCTTACTCTAGTCAGCCTCATTACTGGGTCAACGAAACTGGTGTACAGGTTGAAAGCAGCAAGATAATGTTGGAAATTAAATTTTCAAGCTCCGAAAGAGTCAAAAATAGGCTGATATACCTGTTGTATACGCTGGTATACAGTTGGAAAATATGATATACAGGTAAAAACGCGAAAATACAGATTGAGAAATGTAGAAATATGGAGCTCGAATAAAATTACAGGTCCGGGAGTTCGAGAATTAGTGGTATACATATTGTATACATCAAATATACACTTAGTGTATATCTGGACAAATGAGAATGAAAAGGGGGCCAAAGGCCCAAGGAAATTTGCAGCAGGTCCAGCAGGTGTTGGATTATTTTTAGACTTAGGACAAGAAAATAAATTTGGGCCTATCAGATTTGAGAATTTGGGTAAATTGGCCCAAGTTCAATATTACTTTCCTTTACTCTTGTTTATTTGTGTTATTGAATCAATTAACCATTTTATTTGATTTTGGGTAAATTGGCCCAAGAGAAGTCATTTCTTCTTTTCTTACGCTTAATTTTAAATATATTTACATTTTTACTTATCACTTTACTTATATTATTTAGCTTCACTTGCATTTTATGAATTATTTCCCATAGAAAATCCCCCTTTAGTTTATTTCCCTTAAAATAAAAATGAGTTTTATTACTTAATTAATATTTTCCTCAAAATTAGTCAAAGTCATTTTAGTCAAATCGCCGGTCAACCGCAAGTTAGCGGACATTCCGAGAGCCTAACACCTTCTCGAAATGTACATTGAACTCGAACCCTTTTTATTTCAATTGATTTTATATGTTTAAGTCTTTTGAAAACCTTCAGTTTTTTTCTTGATTTTTCCTAAAAAAATTAAGTGGCGACTCTGCTTCTTTTGGAAAATCAATTTCTCTTCAAAATATAAGTTTAGTCGATTTTTCAAAAATAAATCCATTTTTATTTTTTCAAGTAAAACAAATACTATATTTAAACGCATGGTTAATAGTATATATCCCAAATAGTCTGGTCCATTGATTTTTATTCGTTTTAAGTCATGACTGGGAACCCGCCAGTGTTGACCATTGATTTGTGATAACAATTCACAATGAAGCAAAATAATCTTTCACATATTATATATGGGCTTGCCCATATGCACTCTTCTGATGTAATAAATAACTTCCAGCTAATCTGGGTGTAATTGAAAAAAAAGTATAAAACACATTGAACTTCTTTTACAAAAAATAAAAAATAAAAAAAAATCTCCAGTAATCCTGAAGTGTTGCATTTAATTCCATAAAAAGTTCAGATTACAACACAAAGGACTTGCAAAAATTTGAGCAATTAGAAAAAAACTTTAGCTCAATTTCCTACTTTCAGTGAATTAGCCTAACTAACATAAAAAATTACTTCGTCAAATTTAGATCTAATATTTGGAATCTCTCTTATCCATGGAAAGGTCCCTTTGCACCCTTAGGAAATTGTTGGGACGAGAGATATGTAGGAGATTTACAAATTAGTCAATTAAGTATAAAATATATTGAACTTCACTTTTATTAAAACACTAGTTTAGAAGATTTACAAATTCTCTAGCAAAAATATATTGTAGCAATTATGACTTGTGCCAACGATCGTATCACAAATTCCCTTGAAAAAGTGGTCATAATTCTTTTATAATGGTGTACACGACCGGGTTGGTTCGAGTTTTTCAAATATCAAATCAAACCATTTATGTAAAAATTTTAAATTTATAAACCAAACCAAACTAATAAAATTCGGATTTTTTCAGGTTTTTCAACCTCGGGTTGGTTCGGATTTTTCAAATACCAAACCAAACCATTGTGTCAAAATTTTTAAATTTATAAATCAAACAAAACTAATAAACCTCGGATTTTTTCAGATTTTTGAATTTTTTCGGAAAAATTTGTATACAAACATATAATTAACTTGTGCTCCAAATATTTCTTTAGTCCAACCAAAATACAATTATCTAAGGTGTTTCTTAAAAAAAATAACACAAAATATGAGATGAGTACTGATGACACAAAAATATTCAATAAAAAATAATAATGAAATCATCATATAAAATAAATATTGTAAAGTCATAATGAAAATGATCATACTTTAAAAGTACTAAATCATTCTAAAATAAGTTTAATAAGTATTAGTTACATTACTAAATATTTAAGAAAAATTAAAATTAGATTATGTATTTTAATTGTCTAATCCAATGTAAAACTAAAGAACAAATATTCAATATTATTGTCATTCTTAGTGTTGAATTGATCTTCTTTTTGCATTAATATTAATTTGATTTTGATTTAAGTTTTATTATAGTTGTCAACATCTATGAACTATAATCTTTATTGGACCATTCCGAATTCTAAGTTTTAAACTTGAAATAATATATTAAAAGATAAAAACTATGAAATAGTATAAGAAATATATTAAAATTATATCAAAGTAAATATTTTTATGTATAAAATAAAATTTTAAAATTACATATATAATGTCGGGTTGGTTTGGTCTCGGGTTGGTTTTTTTTAGTTAAAACCAAACCAACCCAAAAATTACGATATTGTTGAACGTAATACAATCAAACTTCTCTATAATGGTGTTATTTGTTTAGAAATTTTTTCGTTGTTGTATCAAAATGTTGTTATAGAGAATATATAGTGTGTAACCTAATATGAAAAATCAAGAATTACGCCTCGCCTTGTATCAGGTTATGTACATCACACTTCCATTGAACTAAATAAAATAGAACATGCATTATCAAGCTGATTGGATTGTATTATAACAAACCTCCAAAGTTTTATTACAAGACTTCGAGTACGATTAAAAAAAAACACACAAAGAAGCTAAAAAGAGAGAAAACGGACACGATCCGTGATTAAGCAGGATCAATCTCGACCTATCTTATTCTTGTCCACATGATTGTGCTACTACCATATATTATGATATGGAAAATGAATCTCTTTCATTAACGTCACTTCACCCTGCATTGTCACATTAAAACAAACATTAACCAAGAAATTTACTACCTAGCTACATATATATACAATAATAGAAGGAGTTTCTAGAGTAGGGGTAATTAATTGTAAAGAAACCTGAAAAGTGGATTTAAGTCGGATTTAAAAAAAAAACCTATTCCTCTTATATATATTTACGGTTATGCCACTAGTCGAAATAATTATATTGTATATTAGGGGTTGAAGTGTCCCACATCTACTGGAGAAGGGATGAGTGGTTTCTTTATATGATCTTGGACAAATCTTTGTTTGTGAGCTAACTTTTGAGTTTATATTATAGACTCAATATTTATTTCATAATTTGACATGGTATATCAAAACTAGATTCATCCTAGTTTATTGTTCATCTGGTTGTTGAGTTCCACTTCGATTGTCTTTTTTTTTGAAAAATAACTTGTATTTTATTTATTTTCTAGTGTTCAGTAAGTAAGAAAGAAAACATTATCTAAAAATATTTATATGTAATCTAGTAAATACTATAGGAATGAGATAGGGTGGGAAATGATGTTCGGGAGTGATGAAGAGTGTGATGGTCAAGGGTTTGAGCTTACAATTTCGGCGCAATGAATTTAGAATGTCTACTTAATAGAATTTATTTTCTCTAATTCGTATCAAACACATCTTAAATGTTCTAACTTTTAAGATTGAATTAGGCTAACGTAAACTAAAAACATACTTGGAGCAGTCAACAGAGGGGCTGATCTCAAAAGGAATCTTGACACCACAAACTCCAGAGAGACCAGCAGCTTTGCCAAAATCAATGCCTTTTATAGTATTAGCAGCTTTTTTGACACATCTACATGATTTTCTACGCTCATGTGGTGTTTTACAAAGCTTAAGCAAATCTTTAATGACACCACAACAGCCTCCTATTGGGCCACGGTTCTGCAAATAAGGAAGGCAATTCACCACCCCAACCTGTATTTGGCCACAAGTCACTGCCTCTGCATGGGGTGCAAATGTAATCAACATGCACGAAACCACCAAACATGCAATCTTGACAAACATTTTCATTCTTTAAAGAGAAATTGAGAGAATAGTGTGAGGAGTGTTGGGTAGAAAAAACTAGTGACAAACTTAGGGTTTTTATAGAGGAAATTAATTGGAACTAAAGATGATGAAGTGGCCGAGGAATTTATTCCAAGGCACCCACTGATATAACTGATAAAGCAAAATTAGATGACAGTTTCAAATCGATTAATCCCAAACTTAACTTAAAAAAAAATAATTTACTCTAAATTTATTTGGTTTATTATTTTTTCAATCCAAAAATCAGAAACTCAAATCAAAATTTTCATATTTAATAGGAAAAACTATATAATTAGACATACTTCACTACCATATATATTATTATTACTCATACTTTTAAAATATTATGTATTTTACCACTAATTAAGAATTCTCTATGTATCTTACACTTAGATACATGTGTTTTTGCTATCTGATACACAAAAATATGCAGAGAGGCGAGCAAGATTCGTATGTATCTGGAGTGATTTGCATGTATATGGGATACCCGATATATGAGAGGGTGGCGAGTGAGATGGGAGAGACGCGAGGGAAACGAGTGAGATTTCTATCACAGATAGATACATGTGAATCCACTTGGATACAATGTATCTAGAACAAATTACACCTAAATTTGACCCCGTGTTTCCAAGATACATGTATTTGGATGTATCTTAAGTAATTAGGCGCTCATAAACTAGGCAGATTATATAAGTTCCTTTATTTAATTAGAGTAAATTTTAGGTTTAGCAAACATAAAAATCATATTTGTATGCTATAACTATGGTTTGTATAATTGCGCTCCATAACAAACTTTATGTTCGCTATGACTATTAATCTATATAATTCGGTATACATATACATAAAATATATGTATTTGGGTCTATTTGTATATTTCGGTATACGAATGGGTCCTACATTTGTATATTTCGGTATACAAATGGGTCCTGCCCTTTGTATATTTCGATATACAAATGGGTCCTGCCCTTTGTATATTTCGATATACAAATGGGTCCTGCATTTGTATATTTCGGTCTATTTGTATATTTTGGTATACAAATGGGTCTTGCATTTGTATATTTCGATCTGTTTGTATATTTTGGTATACAAATGAGATGGCAAAAAATATGGAATGTTTGCTGCGAATTACAAATAAAAGAAACTATGACTATAACATTTAATTTGAATTAATATTGTTATTTCATACAATTTTCCCATTTAATTACGAATGGCCCGAACGCTCGCCCCTAGAATTCTCCATGTCTACAATCGATGGCTTTTAATTAGCCATGTACCATTAGACTTTTCGTCAGTAACTCACATTATTGATTATTCCTCTGTTGTTTGCTTTCACAAATGTCTTGATTTGTGGAAAATGGCCAATACATGAAGGAAAAATCCAAATTATAATCTCATTATGATCTTTATCACTTGGCCATCTTACCCATCAATCATCATCACGTGGCCAAGGCATGAAGAAAAATCTTGTTTGGATTCATATGCTAAGTCAAGTTTTTTGGTTATATATCGATTGGTCTTTGGCATCATCTTCCAAGAAGCAACATCTCCTAAGATGCTAAAGCCATAGTGTTGTTCTAAAAAGCCATGTGTGAGCAATGTTTTTTTTTTCTCTTAAGCAACTATAGTTTGAGTCTGAGATCACTATTGACTATGAATATATATAATTATTTTACTAAGTAAACATTCAAGAACATATTTTTTCATTACATGTAAATTAGGTCTCCTTCAACTAATATATAAACTATGTGGCTTTTATTATTAAGATGAGTGAAAAATGTTAGAGATATCGGCAATGCAATATTAAGAATATTAATGTACAGAGATAGAGCTAGGTGAGGATTTATGGGTTCGGACGAATCTAGTAGCTTTTATGTAGACCCTATATTTGTATTAGAAAATTAATTAAATATATGTGTATATTAATTTGTGAACCCTAACAAAATTGTTTGACAGTTATTAAAGAAATTTAGAACCCCAAACTCTTAATCCTGGTGTCACTTCTGTTAATGTATATATTAAATTGCGTTACTCTTCCGTCTTGGAAATATATAGATGAAAAGTTGCCACAATTTCTTTTAACAGTTCCATAAAAACTATAAAATTTCTACGTATGAACCAATGATCTCATGTTCGTGCGATAAAAACTATATAGACATATTTCACTACTATATATACTACTATTATTATCTATACTTTCAAAATATTACATATCTTACCATATCTTAAAGAAAATACACTTAGATACATGTATTTTTGCTACCATATACACAAAAATAGGAGAGGTGCAAGTGAGATTGGAGAGGGAGGAGAAGCAAGATTTGTACGGATCTTGAATACATGTGAATCACAATATCACACCAATACATCTATATCTGAGATACATGTATATAGATGTATCTGGAGGTACCGAAATCTAATAAAAAATTAAATATTGTAAACTAAATTGTATCTAAATAATTAGCTCCTAAACTAGTGAAATTTACGTAAGTTCCTCTCCCACTATTTTCTTGTTTACTCTTTTGAAAGATTTTCCGCACCTATAAATAATAGGGGTCTTCTTTCTTTCAGTGGTAATTTGACCCTAAACTTTGTAGTTAATGGTTTTTAAAGGCATACAAAAATAAAACATGAGAAGTAAAATGGATCGAAAAGAGCAATTTCTTGTGACAATGGATGTACAAGTAGTGTAGTGAGGTGTATATTAGTTGTGAATAAAAGAAGAATTGTGAGGAAGTAAAATTTTAAATCTATATAATTAGACATACTTCACTACCATATATATTATTATTACTCATACTTTTAAATATTACTTCCTCCGTCCCATTTTATGTGGCACCATTTCTTTTTGGTCAGTCCCAAAAAGAATGTCACATTTCCTTATATGGTAAGTATTTAAAGGTACAATTCATCTTTTACCCTTGTTGGTCTTAAAATAATACTCCAATACATTTATGAGGAGAGAGAAAAGTGAGTCTACTTTTTAAAGGGCAATTTGGTAAACATTTCAAAGTCTTCATTTATTTCTTAAACTCCGTGCCCGGTCAAATGTTGTCACATAAAATGGGATGGAGGGAGTATGTATTTTACCACTAATTAAGAATTTTCTATGTATCTTACACTTAGATACATGTGTTTTTGCTATCTGATTCGCAAAAATATGGAGAGAGGCGAGCAAGATTTGTATGTATCTGGAGTGATTTGCATGTATATGGAATACCCGATATATGAGAGGATGGCGAGTGAGATGGGAGAGACGCGAGGGAAGCGAGTGAGATTTCTATCACAGATAGATACATGTGAATCCACTTGGATACAATGTATCTAGAACAAATTAGACCTAAATTTGACCCCGTGTTTCCAAGATACATGTATTTGGATGTATCTTAAGTAATTAGGCGCTCCTAAACTAGTCAGATTTATATAAGTTCCTCTATTTAATTAGAGTAAATTTTAGGTTTAGCAAACATAAAAATCATATTTGTATGTTATAACTATGGTTTGTATAATTGCGCTCCATAGCAAACTTTATGTTCGCTATGACTATAATCTGTATATTTCGGTATACATATACATAAAAAATATGTATTTGGGTCTATTTGTATATTTCGGTATACAAATGGGACCTGCATTTGTATATTTCGGTATACAAATGGGTCCTACATTTATATATTTCGGTCTATTTGTATATTTTGGTATACAAATGGGTCTTGCATTTGTATATTTCGGTCTATTTGTATATTTTGGTATACAAATGGGATGGCAAACAACATGAAATGTTTGTTGTGAATTACAAATAAAAGAAACTATGACTATAACATTTAATTTGAATTAATAGTTTGTTATTTCATACAATTTTCCCATTTAAGAGTAAATTTTAGGTTTAGTAAACATAAAAATAATACTTGTATGTTATAGCTATAGTTTGCATAATTGCGCTTCATAGCAAATTTTATGTTTGCTATGGAGCTATTAATTTGTATATTTCGGTATTCATTCCAATTGTATAAGTATATATTTGAAATTTGTATACAAATAAGAAACTGACTTGGTTGTAAGTTGTATAAGTATATGTATTTTTGTTGTGATTTTCAATCGTATATGTATATGTGTATTATATGCATTTAAATATAAATCTGTATATGTATATGTAACTGTATTGTTGTAGACAAATAGATTTGTATATAAATCTATCTCTCACTTTATACAAACACACATTATACAAAATACAATTTATGTATAATTTGTGTTTGTATAAATCGAGAAAAAGAGAAAGGCAAAAGAGAACTAGGCTGGGGAAGATTTGTATTGTATAATTACAAGTGTATAGGATGAAGAGATATATATTTGTATTTGTATATACAGTTTTCTCTTACTTTGTACAAACAAAAACATAATTTATACATTTGTGTTTGTATAAAGTGAGAGAGGCGAGGGAGAGTGGCGAGCGAGATTTTTGGGGAGAGAGGAGAATGGCGAAGTGTTTGCTACCAATTAGAATTAAATGAAACTGTGGTTATAACATTTATTTTTGAATTAATAGTTTGTTATTTCATACAATTTTTTCATAGATGAATGAGGAGTATATTTGAACTTTTTTTTTTTAATCCAAAGGACCCATTGGGTCTTATTTTTTAGTATAACTTACATAAATCTCATAGTTTTAATATGAAATTACAATCTATTTCTCATTAGTTTGTAATTACATTAATCCCTTAAAAAGTAACACAAACCGGATACATAATACGTAGCTCGGATACATTAAAGAGTATCTTGGATACATTATAACATAAACCAGATACATAATATGTAGCTCGGATACATTAAAAACTAGCTCATATATATAATATGTAGCTCGGATACATTAATATGTAACTCGGATACATTAAAGAAATAATGGATTTTAGAGATTTTTAGAAATAGAAGGGGGTATTAGAAAGGGAAAAAGGACGAATTTACCCCCGAACTTTCATAAATGGTATGTCTATGCCCTCCGTTAT